TGGTGTGGTAGACGTCATTGTGGTGTGGTAGACGTCATTGTGGTGTGGTAGACGTCACTGTGGTGGGGTAGACGTCACTGTAGTGTGGTAGAGGTCACTGTGGTGTGGTAGACGTCACTGTGGTGTGGTAGACGTCACTGTGGTGTGGTAGACGTCACTGTAGTGTGGTAGACGTCACTGTTGTAGAGGTCACTGTGGTGTGGTAGACGTCACTGTGGTGTGGTAGACGTCATTGTGGTGTGGTAGACGTCACTGTGGTGTGGTAGACGTCATTGTGGTGTGGTAGACGTCACTGTGGTGTGGTAGAGGTCACTGTGGTGTGGTAGACGTCACTGTGGTGTGGTAGACGTCATTGTGGTGTGGTAGACGTCATTGTGGTGTGGTAGACGTCATTGTGGTGTGGTAGACGTCACTGTGGTGTGGTAGACGTCACTGTGGTGTGTTAGACGTCATTGTGGTGTGGTAGACGTCACTGTGGTGTGGTAGACGTCACTGTGGTGTGGTAGACGTCACTGTGGTGTGGTAGACGTCATTGTGGTGTGGTAGACGTCATTGTGGTGTGGTAGACGTCACTGTGGTGTGGTAGACGTCACTGTGGTGTGGTAGACGTCATTGTGGTGTGGTAGACGTCACTGTTGTAGAGGTCACTGTGGTGTGGTAGACGTCACTGTGGTGTGGTAGACGTCACTGTGGTGTGGTAGACGTTACTGTGGTGTGGTAGACGTTACTGTTGTAGAGGTCACTGTGATGTGGTAGAGGTCACTGTGGTGTGGTAGACGTTACTGTGGTGTGGTAGAGGTCACTGTGGTGTGGTAGACGTCACTGTGGTGTGGTAGACGTCACTGTGGTGTGGTAGAGGTCACTGTGGTGTTATGTGGTAGACGTCACTGTGGTGTGGTAGACGTTACTGTGGTGTGGTAGACGTTACTGTTGTAGAGGTCACTGTGATGTGGTAGAGGTCACTGTGGTGTGGTAGACGTTACTGTGGTGTGGTAGAGGTCACTGTGGTGTGGTAGACGTCACTGTGGTGTGGTAGACGTCACTGTGGTGTGGTAGAGGTCACTGTGGTGTTATGTGGTAGACGTCACTGTGGTGTGGTAGACGTCACTGTGGTGTGGTAGACGTCACTGTGGTGTGGTGCAGCAGAAATGTGGGTTATATCCACCAGTCCCATGTTTGAACCACGAGCCCATTTCTCCCAGCTATCCATTTATTTGACCAGGTGATCGATACCTTGAACTGATTGAAAATAGTTCACTGAGACTGTGACGTGACGTTCTAAACCTGGCCAGTTACATTGGAGCGGGGAGCGTAATGTATTGATACATCAGTCGTTAGTTTCTGTATGTTGTCTTGTACTGATGCAAACAGCATGGAGGTTGTCGGCCATTTACACTTCATGCAGGAATACTTTACTACCACTCACAGTGACCTTTACTAAATCTGCGACCAATCACAGTGACCTTCACTAAATCTGCGACCAATCACAGTGACCTACACTAAATCTGCGACCAATCACAGTGACCTACACTAAATCTGCGACCAATCACAGTGACCTTCACTAAAATTACGTAATATTTAATGAGACTAAATCGCCCAGAGACCATTTGAAATCTCTAGTGTGCAGGTTAGGCCGATATTTAAAAAAAATAATTCTGGCGAGGTAACCTGAACAAACTACTGACACTTCGTGAACTTTGTTTTAGTTTCAATTTTGTTTTTAAAGCAAATATTTTGTTCAACCCCCCCCCCCCACCCCACCCCACCCCACCCCACCCCACCCCTACTTGCACCAAATCTCTCCCCATAAACCACTTCACTAGGATACAACGGATACACAAGCGGCTCAGATATATTTGTTTTACACATTTATTTGGTTGTCAGAAACCACGTGACGTTAGTAACGAGCAGAAGACACACCAGAACGGCAGACGACACACCAGTAGATAGCACGACACACCAGAAAGTGACACACAACTCACCAGTAAGGGAGAGGCGACACATCAATAAGAAACTTCAAATGAGTGACACACGACACACGACACAAGAGTAAGGTCACAGCCCCGCTTCTTAACGAGAGAATTATGCAAGCTCAGTGAGGTCAAGGCCGTCTATTGTTGGTCCGCACGTCCACATTACCAGATACAATCTTTTGATTTGAAATCGATGCGCTTGGTCCTAATCAATTCCATTAAACGGAATTGAATTCGTTTGATCGAATTCTTTCATTCAGGCCCGATATTTCGATAGACATTTTGTAATGTTATTTTAAACACCTTCAGAGAATCAAAGTGTGAGTATATAGAATGGATGCGATGTTTATGTGGCGTACATATGTGTATTTGACACATATATATGTTTTACACGTTTAAGTGACATATATGCTTGGCACGTATTAGAATATAGAGCAAGATGTGGACTGAAATAGATATTTCTTTTTAAAAAATAATGCAACTATTCCCACGGTGAAATCGGCACTAGAAATTAAATCTGATGATAAACAAAACAGCCCACAAATTCACGTTTATAAATACTCAAATCTGTTCCGTGCATATTTCTATAAAGCTATCACACAATAATTGTCTGGATTACCCCAGCGTTGGTTATAAATATCACACTATAAAGCTGTTTTGGTAGTTAATACCTATATCACATGTTAGTTAATTATTTTTCAAAAAACAAAAATGAGTTACAATAAAGCTTTTAGCTGGCTTGTCAACCTGTTTTAAAACAACGGGTGCTATTTCTAAAAAAAAACCCTGAAAGTGATACCTTTAAGCGCCTTGAAACATGTTTTAAAGCACCGTCAATTTTAAAGCACCTAGATACACTTGATTACAAAAAAATCAATTTTTTAAACTTAACTTAAAAAAAAAAAATTAGCAGCCCCTGTAGTGTGTATTAAAATACTACAGAAGAACTTTAAAAAATATTTTTAAAAAAAAACTTATTCAGAAAGCCCTTCAAGTCCTACATAAAATATATTTTCTTTAAATCTTGTCAACATCAAAGGGGCATAGTTGGAAGAAGGAATAAAGACTATGGAGAAGTAACTCCTGGGGTTACCGAGTCTCTCCAATGAGTTACTGTTCCTGAATGTCTATATTGCTTGCGTTACCATTGCTATCAATGTATAAAGACGAGTCCAGTCTTTCTCCTTTCATGTCGTAAAAATTAAAATTTGAAAATTAATCATTAATTAAAATACAGTCTTTTTCCTTTCATGTCGTAAAAATGATAATTTAAAAATTATTCATTAATAAAATAACTTTGCTATTAAATATCAAAAGCGTATCTTGAGATGAAACAAGCGAGGAAAAAATATTTCAGCTCATTCCCCAGCAGTGGTTGGAGTGTTGACTTCTGTATCTGATTACATTTTTTGTCGCATTTCGCCAACAGAAAATAGAGTATCTACATATTTTAAGAAATACATTTGGATGAATAATACGAGCATACTATTTACAAATGCAATTAATTCACTAAATGAGCCGGTGTGAAATATTTGATAAGGTTCATAAATTAAGACATATTGGACAGACCAGTGGTTGGTCTGTCTTGCATTGTTGTTCGCAGTTCTAAGACATGCATTGACAGTAGCCCGGGTAGCCTGGGCCAAACGGTCAGTTCTATGACATGCACTGACAGTAGCCCGGGTAGCCTGAGCCAAACGGTCAGTTCTATGACATGCACTGACAGTAGCCCGGGTAGCCTGAGCCAAACGGTCAGTTCTATGACATACACTGACAGTAGCCCGGGTAGCCTGAGCCAAACGGTCAGTTCTATGACATGCACTGACAGTAGCCCGGGTAGCCTGAGCCAAACGGTCAGTTCTATGACATACACTGACAGTAGCCCGGGTAGCCTGGGCCAAACGGTCAGTTCTATGACATGCACTGACAGTAGCCTGGGCCAAACGGTCAGTTCTATGACATGCACTGACAGTAGCCCGGGTAGCCTGAGCCAAACGGTCAGTTCTATGACATACACTGACAGTAGCCCGGGTAGCCTGAGCCAAACGGTCAGTACAAGAAAAGTTGGATAGAAAAATAGATTAGTAAAAGTTGCAAAAAATAGAATGATTATTAAAATAAACGAATGAAATAGTTAGCAGTATACACATACGGTACAATAAAAGTGGTTGAAAATAACACGGTCCCCATAATTTGTACATCAATATATATAAATATATAGATAGATAGATAAAGTATAATTTGATAAAAACCTACTCAGACTGCAGTCAGCTGATAGCACTGAGGCTATGATGATCTGGTCAAGTGGTCAGCTGATTAATGAATAAATAATGGCCTGAGTCAGCCTGAATACTAGGAGTTTCTCCTGAACACTAGGCATTGGTCCATTCTGTTTTTTCTGAATATGAAGCCTTGGTCCATGCTATTTTTCTAGGCCTTGATCCATGTTGTTTTTCTAGGCCTTAATCCATGCTATTTTTCTAGGCCTTAATCCATGCTATTTTTCTAGGCCTTAATCCATGCTATTTTTCTAGGCCTTAATCCATGTTGTTTTTCTTGCTTTATTTTTTGAACACTTTGCCTTGGTCAATGTTTTTCCAGAATATGAGCACTTGATCCATGTTGTTTTTTCTAGGCCTTGTCTATGTTGTTTTTCTAGTCCTTGATCAGTATAGTTTTCCAAAAGACAATGCCTTGGTCAATGCTATTTTTCCCGAACTCTAGGCCTTTGGTGTAAGCTGTTTCGTGTGATGGTAAAAAATATAGCTGTAAGTCAAGGTTGTACCATCAAGCTATCGCTTACTGGCTTCACAGGAAAACTTTCACATAATAAATCCATTTTCTCATTTTGAAATTGAGTTTTGAAGTTAGAGTTGTCGTCCTTGCTCAATTCCAAAACTGCACATAAGGGAAGCGTTAGATTCGAACATTCACATAGTGTCATTGTGGCACTCTGAACTTTTCTCACACACTTTGCTGGAGTGTCCATATCACATGCCAGCCAACTGTCACATAACGTCACATATCACATGCCAGCCAACTGTCACATAACGTCACACATCACAAAACTTTCATTATCCACAACTGAAATTTGAAAATCCTAAATGAATGACGAGAATGATGAATGCCGTCAAGTTGTCGTCCAATGTAAATGGGATGATCTTTTTGAATAACGTGAAGTGAAATAAATAAAATGTAGCACGACTACTTGATGGATGTAAATAAAATGAAGCACGACTACTCATGTTTTGGTATATTGCAGTTGAGACCGATGGAGGCTGATAGAGGAGGTTCGAGTCGTCTAGAGGGAGTCTAAGAGGCTGCAGGCGCTGCTGATACCGCTGTTGGAGGCTTGGTGGATGCCCTCCACGTTAATGTCCTCGTCCCAGTCCTCGGTCGATGGGGGCGGGTCGTCGAACTTGTAGGGGGGCGTCTCGCCCCGCATGTTGCAGATGACGTTGGATAATGCTTTGATGTAGTTTTTGGCCAGGGTCAAGGTTTCGATCTTGGAAAGTTTTCTGTCTAAGTTCACGTGGGGTATCACTTCACGCAGGCCCTGGAAGGCGTCGTTCAACGAGTGCATGCGCATGCGCTCTCGTTCATTGCTCTCTAGACGCCGGAGGTTCCTCTCTCTGGCACTGACGCCCTTCCGTCGTTTGGTCGACTTCTTACCGCTCCGGGATTTTTTCTCCGACGGCTCGTCCAAGTTTGAGCTGCTAGAGTCGGAGGGTGAGCACGGGTTGTCGCGGTCTCTCTTGCGGCTGTTGGCGCCCGAGCCTTGCTTCCGGGTGGCGAAGTCACTCCCGGTATCTGTCTCATCCCAGACGGAGGGGTCTATACTTAATTCATCGGCTAGTTCTATGTCCATCCTGGCGTCCACTAGACACGTGCATAGAACCTGGGGGGAGGTAAACAACCGGTAATTAATGATTAGGCTAATATATATCTGTGTAATTAAAAGTGAATAAATATAAAAAAAAGTGAATAAAACAATACAATCGTGATCAAGTAACGGTGAGCTGTGTTATATTATAAGATAAACTAGGGATAAGCTGTATTTTTTTATATGGTAAGTATGGGATCTAACAGACCTTAGCTGTGTTATATTACACAAAAACTAGCGACTTAACAGACATTACCTGTGTTGTATTACAAGGTAAACAGGGGACTTCACAGAAATCAGCTGTGTTATATTACAAGTTAAACAAGGGACCTAACCGGGATTTGAGTGTTCTCCCCTTGGCTGATTGATAAATATAATGGCAGTGACCTCCCCTCCCCCACCCCTCAAGCCACACGATGAGCTCCCATCAATCTCACGTTATGGCTTGTATTACAGTTCCAGGGGCTGGCAGAATATAGTGGGCTGTAAAACATGAGGGCAGTTCCCACGACAAGCGCGGGTCGTGTGGGTCAGGCATGACCCGCATGGGTTATGATGGTCTGTCATGACCCGCATGGGTTATGTGGGTCTGTCATGACCCGCATGGGTCGTGTGGGTCAGGCATGACCCGCATGGGTTATGATGGCCTGTCATGACCCGCATGGGTTATGTGGGTCTGTCATGACCCGCATGGGTCGTGTGGGTCAGGCATGACCCGCATGGGTTATGATGGCCTGTCATGACCCGCATGGGTCGTGTGGGTCAGGCATGACCCGCATGGGTTATGATGGCCTGTCATGACCCGCATGGGTTATGATGGCCTGTCATGACCCGCATGGGTTATGTGAGTCTGACATACAAACATTGAGACATCGGTCAGTGATTTGTCACATCCCCAAGAAAATGCACACAACAACAATTAGATATCTATAAAACAATAATGTAAACATCATATCAACTTCATGATGTCTTTGATGTCAACAAACAATTTAAACACAACATCACCATGTGTATATCTACAACACACAACGTAAACACAACATAACCATCACCTTATCTACAGCACTTAACGTAAACCCAACATCACCATGTGTATATCTACACACAATGTAAACACAACATCACCATAATGATTTTAACAACACATGTTTTTAACACCAGCACTCTACACACGCGTATAGCATTATTGTTTTTATAATGTTATTGAAGCTTGTATTTCATTGTATGAGGTATAACAATACAGGGTATTCATTCTTCTAACGAAATATTAAATGAGTCTATTGATATAATACACTGACATAAGTAAGAATATAAGTGTGAACTGAGTTATAGATTTATAAACATTTAAAAGCCTGGTCAGTTTTATATTTGGTTTTAACAGTTGTTTTTTTTTATATATATACATGATAAGTTTATAAAAAAAATATATTTATTTATATATGTTTATATATATCGGTGTGTTTTAAGTGAAGTTGATATCATACTTTAATTACACACACCAAACTCCGATCAATTCTCTAAATCAGCTTATGGTCCTGCGCTAATGGCTATTGAATTTCCCAATGCCTTTAGCCAGTTCATTTGTTGTCAAGCTGCTTCATTGACGCGGTGAATCAAAGTCGTTAAAAACTGACAGGTATGTTCCTGGTACGGGCAGAGACGCTGGTCGCCTCACCTGGGTGGGGATGGGGAGAGGGGACAAGGCCTGGGGCTAATGAACCACATTCTAGCGGCTACCTGGCTAGATGCTAGCAGGTAGCAGACCAAATGTGATATGTAGATTAAGAAGGTTTAGATGTCAGGTATTGAAGCTGCCATTACGGCTTAAGTGCTTAACCTCAACCACATCAAGAGCAGGAAAATATGTGGTGAGGAATGGAGAAAGTTTGGGGGATAAAGCAGAAAATATGTGGTGAGGAATGGAGAAAGTTTGGGGGATAAAGCAGAAAATATGTGGTGAGGAATGGAGAAAGTTTGGGGGATAAAGCAGAAAATATGTGGTGAGGAATGGAGAAAGTTTGGGGGATAAAGCAGAAAATATGTGGTGAGGAATGGAGAAAGTTTGGGGGATAAAGCAGAAAATATGTGGTGAGGAATGGAGAAAGTTTGGGGGATAAAGCAGAAAATATGTGGTGAGGAATGGAGAAAGTTTGGGGGATAAAGCAGAAAATATGTGGTGACGAATGGAGAAAGTTTGGGGGATAAAGCAGAAAATATGTGGTGAGGAATGGAGAAAGTTTGGGGGATAAAGCAGAAAATATGTGGTGAGGAATGGAGAAAGTTTTGGGGATAAAGCAGAAAATATGTGGTGAGGAATGGGGAAAGTTTGGGGGATAAAGCAGAAAATATGTGGTGAGGAATGGAGAAAGTTTGGGGGATAAAGCAGAAAATATGTGGTGAGGAATGGAGAAAGTTTGGGGGATAAAGCAGAAAATATGTGGTGAGGAATGGAGAAAGTTTGGGGGATAAAGCAGAAAATATGTGGTGAGGAATGGAGAAAGTTTGGGGGATAAAGCAGAAAATATGTGGTGAGGAATGGAGAAAGTTTGGGGGATAAAGCAGAAAATATGTGGTGACGAATGGAGAAAGTTTGGGGGATAAAGCAGAAAATATGTGGTGAGGAATGGAGAAAGTTTGGGGGATAAAGCAGAAAATATGTGGTGAGGAATGGAGAAAGTTTTGGGGATAAAGCAGAAAATATGTGGTGAGGAATGGGGAAAGTTTGGGGGATAAAGCAGAAAATATGTGGTGAGGAATGGAGAAAGTTTGGGGGATAAAGCAGAAAATATGTGGTGAGGAATGGAGAAAGTTTGGGGGATAAAGCAGAAAATATGTGGTGAGGAATGGAGAAAGTTTGGGGGATAAAGCAGAAAATATGTGGTGAGGAATGGAGAAAGTTTGGGGGATAAAGCAGAAAATATGTGGTGAGGAATGGAGAAAGTTTGGGGGATAAAGCAGAAAATATGTGGTGAGGAATGGAGAAAGTTTGGGGGATAAAGCAGAAAATATGTGGTGAGGAATGGAGAAAGTTTGGGGGATAAAGCAGAAAATATGTGGTGAGGAATGGAGAAAGTTTGGGGGATAAAGCAGAAAATATGTGGTGACGAATGGAGAAAGTTTGGGGGATAAAGCAGAAAATATGTGGTGAGGAATGGAGAAAGTTTGGGGGATAAAGCAGAAAATATGTGGTGAGGAATGGAGAAAGTTTTGGGGATAAAGCAGAAAATATGTGGTGAGGAATGGGGAAAGTTTGGGGGATAAAGCAGAAAATATGTGGTGAGGAATGGAGAAAGTTTGGGGGATAAAGCAGAAAATATGTGGTGAGGAATGGAGAAAGTTTGGGGGATAAAGCAGAAAATATGTGGTGAGGAATGGAGAAAGTTTGGGGGATAAAGCAGAAAATATGTGGTGAGGAATGGAGAAAGTTTGGGGGATAAAGCAGAAAATATGTGGTGAGGAATGGAGAAAGTTTGGGGGGATAAAGCAGAAAATATGTGGTGAGGAATGGAGAAAGTTTGGGGGATAAAGCAGAAAATATGGGGTGAGGAATGGAGAAAGTTTGGGGGATAAAGCAGAAAATATGTGGTGAGAAATGGAGAAAGTTTGGGGGATAAAGCAGAAAATATGTTCCAGTAACAACACAACACACGCTCTAACACACACAATTAACACGATGTGTTGGCTGTGTTACATGTAGCATCGCTCAAGTTTTGTGCCAGAAATAAATGGTTAAGTCCATAATTAATAAACACCTGTCCACAAATTATTGCAGAGAATGTGCTCACTTGAGCTGAGCCTATATGTGTCTACATTTAGAACTTGGCAATGACAAAACATGCGCTTACAACTAGTCACCATTTAATTCAACATAAAGAAAGAATAAAAATTGATTTGTAACTGAACCAGACCAAGGAGAACTTAACTTGTCCATTCGGGTTGGCCCTGACATACTCACGCGCACTCTGGCCAATAGCTGTGTGAGCAGCACTCTGTTTTCTCATTTACATGCAATAAGTGGCAGGTAAAAGTACACAATATCTCACGTGTGTTAAACCACAGTTTAACATCTCACGACAGTTAACTTACACTTTAATATCTCACGTGTGTTAAACCACAGTTTAACATCTCACGACAGTTAACTTACACTTTAACATCTCACGACAGTTAAACCACACTTTAACATCTCACGAAAAGTAAACCACACTTTAACATCTACTGACAGTTAAACCACATTTAAATATCTCAGTTAAACCACACTTTAACTTCTCACAACGGTTTAACCACACTTAAACTCAGATTATCACTGACTTTGGAAGGTGGGGGGGGGGGGGGGGGGGCGATGTGTGTGTGTGTGTTATGAGTGTGTGCTTGTGTCTGTAGTCTGTGTGTGTGTGGTATAAAAAAAAAACGAATGGGCCAGTTGACAATGTGTAGCACAATTTATTATTTTTTGATTATCCACCGTGTACACAACATCACAGTGCACTCAACCATAAACTGGTTCTACACTCTACGGTTATAAACAATGGGTCCAACGTTTTTGTTGTTGTTTTTTTTTTTTTAAATATAGTATACTTGTATCACTTTTTATACGGCCAAACCTGTACACATTGACCACATACCTGCACACATTGACCACACACACCTGTACAAATTGACCACACACCTGTACACATTGAAAACATACCTGTACACATTGACCACACACATGTACACATTGACCACACACCTGTACACATTGACCACACACCTGTACACATTGGCCACACACCTGAACACATTTACCACAAATCTGTACACATTGGCCACACACCTGTACACATTGACCACACACCTGTACACATTGACCACACACCTGTACACATTGACCACACACATGTACACATTGACCACACACCTGTACACATTGAAAACATACCTGTACACATTGACCACATTGACCACACACCTGTACACATTGGCCACACACCTGAACACATTTACCACAAATCTGTACACATTGACCACACACGTGT